ACCAAGGTTATAATTTTTGCTTTCAACTATCAAACATATTTTAAAGAAATTAACAGGAAAAGAATAATCTATTCTATTTACCCAGGCATTTACATTATATGTTATTCTTCCTTTCTTTTTGATGTTCCTAGTTTCTGTCTGATATTATTTCCTTTATGTCTGAATTTCCTTTAGCAATTTTTTAGGGCAGGTTTTTTTTTTGTAACAAATTTTCTGAGTTTCCTGTTATCTGAGTATGTCTTTATTTCATCTCTATTCCTGAAGGATATTGCACTGGGTATAGAATTCTGAGTTGACATCTCTTTTTTTGGCACTTTAAAAATGTTAAGTTCCCTCTGCCTCCACAGACATATGAATCTTTTTTTTTACCTATAAGCAATACATTGTTATTCTCTGGCTGTTTTCAAGATTTTCTTTCTCTTTAGTTTTCAGCAATTTGATTGTAATGTGTTTTGATTCAAGTTCATTTGTGTTTTCTTGTTTAGAGTTTGCGGACCTTCTTGAATCTATAGGTTATTGTCTTTTGCCAAATTTGGTAAATTTTTAGCCATTGTTTTTCAAATACATATATTTTTGATAATGTACTTTTTCTCCTCTCCTTCTGAAACTCCAGTGACCTGAATGTTAGCCCTTTTGGTATTGTTCACAAATCCATGAGGTTCTCTTTGTTTTTGGTGGGGGAGGAGACCTTTTTTTCTCTGTTGTTCAATTTGGATAATTTCTATTGATCTATCCTCAAGTTTATTGGCTCTTTCCTCTGTCATTTACATTCTTCTGTAAGGTGTTTTGGGTTTTTTTAGCTGTTATATTTTCAGTTCTAAAATGTCTTTTTTAAATTTTTAACCTAATTTATTTAAAGAATAGTACTATCTTCCAGTATATTTGGTTTTTTTTTTTCTTTTATATTAATTACTAGGCTTTAGGAAAATAAATAAATAAATAATTAAAAAAAAAAAAAAGGGCCGGCCCCGTGGCTTGGCAGTTAAGTGCTCGCACTCCACTGCTGGCAGCCCGGTTCAGATCCCAGGCGCGCACCGATGCACCGCTTCTCCCGCCATGCTGAGGCCACATCCCACGTACAGCAACTAGAAGGATGTGCAGCTATGACATACAACTATCTACTGGGGCTTTGGGGAAAAGTAAATAAATAAAAAATTATAATTACTAGGCTTGAAATGCCAATTTCTCTTTCTCCCTAGGTCTCAGGATCCATCTTCACTATGCAGTTGGGCTGATGGCTGGTTGTTTGCCAGCCACAGCTGGTTTTAGCTATGGTAAAGTATGCACATGTGCTGAAGTGAAATATCAAATCCAGTAAAGAATCTACCCCAAGTTCCCTCTATGTTCTTTAAATTTTTAGCTCTTCTGAGATGCCTATTTCAATATGTTTCTTCTCAAAGTTTAAATCTTCCTACTGAAATGTTTAAATATATGCATCTCATAAGGGCAATTTAAACTTTGGGGAAAAATGTTTCAGTTTTACTTCAAATTTCATTATACATTATCTGGAGACTTAATCATCACCCTTTTGATAAACTACAATTCTTTTTATTTGAATGTTTGGGCTGTTGCTCTCTGGTTACAAGCGTGGCTAGGAAATGACAGCTCCCCAAGAGAACCTGCTAAAAGTGTCCTCTTCACCTTTTTCTTTCTTTCTTTTTAAAATTGAGATATAATTGACATATAACATTGTGTAAGTTTAAACCTACAACATGTTGATTTGATGCAGTTATGTACTGCAATATGATTGCCACCATAGCATTAGCTAATACGTCCATCATGTCACATAATTATCATTTCTTTTTTGTGGTAAGAACATTTAAGATCTAGTCTATTAACAACTTTCAAGTATATAATACAGTATTGTTAACTATAATCACAATGCTGTGTATCAGATCCCCAGAACTTATTCATCTTCTGACTGCAAGTTTGTACCCTTTGACCAACATCTCACCAATTCCCTCACCCTCTCTCCAACCCTAAAGTTTCTATTCCATGTCTTTTTATATCTTCTATTTTTTTGCTAAGAATTTCTATCTTTCCATTCATTTCAATAATGTTTGCCCTTACTTGTTAGAGCTTTTTAATAATAGCTGCTTTAGACTCTTTGTGAGATCATTCCAACATCTGTATTATCTGTTTTGGCATTAATTCATTGTATTCTCCCATGTAAGCTAAGATTTTCATGGTTCTTCATATGTCAAGGAATTTTAGATTGTATCCTAGACATTTTGAATATAATGTTATGAGACTCTGTATCTTGTTTATAGCTTATGGAGTATGTTGAGATTTCTATTTTAGCAGGCAATTAACCCAGTTTGATTCAGACCACAAGTTCCATCTAGCCTTCTGTGGGTTGTGGTTTCTATGTCACTTCCATTTTCTAAGTCTTTGCAGTGCTGTTTGGATTTGTCCTGCATGTGGCCAGTGTGGAACAGGGGCAGGGGTCTTTTAGTTGTCAAAGATTTTGTTATGCTATTTAGGATCAGATCCATGCATAGGCAGCTTGCGGGTGAGCTCAGGAGTTCAGAAACAACGTTTTTGGGTCACTTTTCCAACATCTTTCTCTTCGGTGATTTCTTCAGTACTTTTCAGTTGCCTAGGTTCACTTTGTGGTTCTTTTACCAGAAATCTGGGGCTTTATTTACCTTACTCTGCTGCACACTTTCCCTCACTCATCGTAGAATCAATTGCTGGGAAGACACAGAGAGAGAAAAACAGCAACGGTGGTTGCTACATTCTCTTGGGACCACAAATCATCCAGTTGGAGAGCAAGGTTCCTCTCTCTCAGAGTTTTAGGTGCCTGTTGCCCCCACCACTAGTCACTGCCAGGAGATCCCTTTCCCTCTTCACCAGCCTGAACTACATAACTTCTAGAGCTATCTTTGTACACACAGGTGTATCCTTCCTGTTTTGGGGCTGTGTTGAGACCAGACTGGAGGATACAAAGTGGGGGGGAATGGTAAACTCAACTCCACTTCACTGGTACTCTGATTTCTGGTCTTCCCCAATTAACCTGATATTACTTACATGTAATAGTCCTCAGAATATTCCATGCATTCTGTCTAGGTTTTTCAGTTGGATCAGTGGAAGAGACAGAGTGTGCTTACTCCTTTTCACCCTGAAGCTGAACTCATCATGATTTTTTATACAAATAAACTTGATACAAATTTGTTGAACACCATTACTACATAAAATGACCAATAACCTTAATATTTTTTTTCCTAAACCCAGCCCTACATCTTTAATCGTGTGAAGCATGAAACTACATACTCCCATATTATACAGTATCATGGGGATTTAATTTTTTTCTAATTACCAAAGTAATACGTGTGGAATTCAGAGATTTTGAAAAATAAAGAAAAGTACAAATTTAAAATGAAATATAAATGTCTGTAATCCCAACATATAAAAGGAACCATTGCTAAAATTTGGATATATGTGTTTCTAAGATTTTGTTCTTTGTAAATATGTACACATTTTAAATAAAAGTAGAAACATATAGACGTTTTGTTACTTTTTCTGTAATATAGTAATATATTGGCCAGTGTTTTCTTTTCTTTTTTTTGTGAGGAAGATCAGCCCTGAGCTAACATCTGCCAATCCTCCTCTTTTTGCTGAGGAAGACTGGCCCTGGGCTAACATCCACGTGCATCTTCCTCCACTTTATATGGGACACCGCCACAGCATGGCTTGATGAGCGGTGCATCAGTGCATGCTAGGGATCGAACCCAGGGCCGCAGCAGCGGAGCACACGCACTTAACCAATACGCCACCGGGCTGGCCCCTGGCCAGTGTTTTCTATGACAATAAATATTATACACTACAGCAAGCTTTTAAATGGCATTGAATCCTATAATTTATTTAGTTAGAATAACACTATGAACATTTAATGTTTCAAAATTTTAGCTATCAAAATAATGGTAGAATAAGATCTCATACACATAACTGACTCTTACCAACAAACTGATTCCTTGCAAAAAATGCTTAACACAGAATTGCTGGCTTAAAGGCAATGCACATTTTTAAGGATTTTGATACAAATAACCAAATTTCCTTCTAGAAAGGATGTTTGGAATGTGAATTGATACATATTTCTTATTAGGTAGTTTTTTCCTGTTTTTATTCTGAATTCATTTTAAAGATTTTATTTATTTTTTCCCCCCAAAGCCCCAGTAGATAGTTGTATGTCATAGCTGCACATCCTTCTAGTTGCTGTATGTGGGACTCGGCCTCAGG